TGCCCATGTGCGGATGCGAACACACCGTCATTGACTATGAGACTAAGTCAAACATCCAACACACACTAGTCTCACATGCATTAACGATATCCCACTCTCGTTAATACTCGACTATGGACATTTAGATAAATATTTATTTCAAGATGTTAGTCTCATCAGCAGAAAAACACTATCTGATAAACATCTTTTAAATATAAATCTAGGAATATAATATTTGTTTACATTAGCATGAGATGTGTAAACATATTATATCTGCCTATACATGATAGAATAACAATAAACAGTTGGCCATCAGGACACAACTCCAACAATCTCCCACTTGCACTATGGCCAATCTGGCATTGGTCTAATGCCCATGGACCTAGTGTGACCCTCATGCTTTAGCTTTCCTAAAGGCTTGGTCAGGGGATTGGCTATGTTGTCGTCAGTATCTACTTTGCAAATCATCACATCTCCTCTATCTACTATTTCTCGTATGATGTGATAGCGTCGTACAATGTGTTTGGTTTTCTGGTGAGATCGCGGTTCCTTTTCCTGTGCAATGGCCCCAGTGTTGTCGCAAAACAACGAGATAGGGTCATTAATACTAGGAACCACTCCAAGTTCAGTAATGAATTTCTTGATCTAAACAGCTTCTTTAGCTGCCTTGGCGGCAGCTATGTACTCAGCTTCTGTAGTCGAATTGGCGGTTGTATCCTCCTTAAAGCTCTTCCAACTAAAAGCTCCACCATTCAGGCAAAACAAATATCCTGCTTGTGATTTTGAATCGTCTCTGTCGGTTTGGAAGCTAGCATCAGTGTAACCGACCACCTTTAGCTCTTCCTCACAACCGTATACCAGGAATGCATCCTTAGTATTGCGAAGATACTTGAGGATGTTCTTGACCGCTGTCCAGTGTGCTTCTCCCGGACTTCCCTGGTATCTGCTGGTCACGCTTAAAGCGAATGAGACATCAGGTCTAGTACATATCATGGCGTACATGATGGATCCAATCGCAGAGGCGTATGGAACCTTCATCATGAGTTCCTTTTGCTCGGGAGTAGAAGGACTCTGGCTCTTGGAAAGAACCGTGCCAGGTGTCATAGGTAAAGATCCTTTCTTTGAGTTAGACATGCTAAATCGATCAAGGATTTTATCNCTATCTCGGTAGATTCTTATGCCAAGGACATAACTAGCATCCCCTAAGTCTTTCATGGAGAAGTTCTCGCTCAACCACGTCTTTACAGAAGTGAGAGCGGGAATATCATTACCCATTAACAATATGTCATCGACATATAATATTAGGAATACTATTACACTCCCACTGACCTTCTTGTATACACAAGATTCGTCAGAGTTCTTCTTGAAACCAAAACTGGAAATGGTTTCATCGAAACGTATGTACCAACTCCGAGATGCTTGTTTCAATCCGTAGATTGAACGTTGCAGCTTACAAACTTTGGCAGACTGACCAGCAATTTGAAAACCGTCAGGCTGTGCCATAAAAACATCCTCTTTGAGGTTCCCATTAAGGAAAGCCGTCTTGACGTCCATCTGCCGAATTTCATAATCGTAATAGGCTGCAATCGCAAGCATTATCTGAATGGATTTCAGCATAACAACTGGAGAAAAGGTTTCATCATAGTCAATTCCGTGGATTTGTCTATAACCTTTTGCTACCAATCTAGCTTTGAAGGTATGAACCTTCCCGTCTACGTCTGTCTTCTTTTTGAAGACCCACTTGCATCCAATGGGTTTTACCCCTTCGGGCGCATCAACCAAGGTCCAGACTTGGTTTGTGTACATAGACTCCATTTCAGATTTCATGGCTTCGAGCCATAGAT